TATATAGGGATGGCCGGTGCGCTTACTGGCTGAGCGTGGTGCAGACAACACCATGCCGAGGGTTACGATCCCCTTACCAGTCCAAAAGAAAAGATTATGCATGAAAATAATCCGGAAGAAACTATTTTAAAGATTATGTTAGTGCTTGTCTCTTGGTGGTGGAAATATGAATAAAATTCTTCTTGTCTTTGTAGGAAGAAAAAGCTTTTAAAATAAATGTGCATTTAAAGACAATTATGGCCCCTCCATTGATCCTTCTTTCCTCTTATCTGAATAATTCCAGTTCTTTTAGCTCCTCTCCATGTAGTTCCAAACCCACTGTTGTCCCTTTGTAAGTGTGATTCAAACAATTGAGCACAAAGGAGTGGGTCCATCAGAGGATTCACATGAGGAGGAATAGCGGGTGGGTGTGCATGCTTACGAGATGCTGGGGTGGAACAAGTGACTGCTGGCCTAATCCCATGTTCCTTTCCTCCTAGACACACAGCTAGACTAGAATTCTCCACCTCCCTGAAAGGGGATTGTCATGTAACTGAGTTCTAGCCCATAGGAAGAGGGAGGGAGTGATGCCTGCTATCTCAAAGCTACAGGAACAATTCCCGTGCATGTTCCTTCATGCTCCTCCCTCTGGATGGCCGAAACAAGAAGACTCCCAAGGGACACTGAAGCCACACGCTAAAGATGGAGAGCCTCCATCAACCTGAATTCCTGAAGGACTGAATGGAAGAAGGCCACCCTCCCAATCTGCTCACCTCTCCAGCATTGTTACATAAGCAAGAAATAATCTCTCGTGTGTCAGCAATTGTGTAACTTGGATTCTGTTTAGTAAAGCGTTTAGCCAACTCTAACTTATATAATACCCAATGATGTCCTACAGGTGACTTTGGTATTTTCTTGTATTCTTCATCATCTCCTCTGCATCGAGGGAAAGAATTTGCCCTAAAGGTTTCTTACAGATGCCTTGGTCAAGAGACAAGAAGCCAGGCTGTGCGTCTGTTGTAGATATTACAAGACCAAAATATAGGACTTCGTATTTTGTGTTAATACATTTCAACTTGTTGGATGTATCTTATCATTCTGGCTTTCCAAAAACTTTTCTCAATTGTGTCATTGTCAATTTTCTGCCCTCTTCACATTTAATAAGCATCTCTTCTACGTTGTCAAGAAAGCTCATGACTAAAAATTATGAGCAGGTTACATTGGTGAGAAGTTAAGCAGATTATTAAGACTAGATTTAGAATGTGGCAGTCTATCTACTTTTTCATACTTTCACTAGAGAAAATGCTGTTGCTTTTTATCAGTTAGCTTTTGCTGTATGACGATCCACACCAAAACTTAGTGACGTAAAACAAACATTCATTGCTTCTCACTGTTGTCTGTTCTGGCTGCACAGTGCCTTTGGTCTGGTCCAGCTCAGCTGCAGCTAGAGGGTCCAGGATGGCCTCACTTACAAATCACAGGCCTCACCCAGTATGGGGAACAGCTCCAAGGCTGGAACTGCTGGGACCTCTCCTTCTACCAGGAGGCTCGTTTGTGGTTGTTCACGTGGGATAAAAGGGTTCCCAGGATCAAAAGAAATGTGAAACCCCTTAGCTCAGAATCAGCGTGGGAGGCACTACCCATGCACCTGTCCAAGGAGGGAAATAATAGTGGCTGCTCTGCAATTACTACCATGCTCTTATCTATTCATTTAATGTATTTGCTATTTATAGTACTTGCATACCTATACCCCAAAATAATGTAACATGTAAAAGAAGTATAGGTTCAACAAATAGGACTCACGTAATGAGGTTATAGGGGTTGAAGGACTATCTGTACCAGAAAACTTGTGCTAAGGGAAGCTACTACAACTGAGCAGAAAACTTGAGCTATTAGCGAGGGGTAGGGGGCAGAGAATACAAAGTCCCTGATGAGTTCTAGCTTCACAGATTCCAACCTGTTATATGGCAGCAGGCAGCGCCCACAGCAGCATGCCATGTCCTCAGTCTTTCTTTTGCATTTTCCCTATTTTCACAGACCCTCTCTTCTTATGTTCATACTCCATGATAGGTGGGAAATTAGTAAGAGAAGGCAGCGAGAGAAGCATAGGGTGCAGACTGTGAATAAGATAAAGCAAAGTGAAGAGGCAAAGAAAAAAGAGGCAGGGAACAGGGCAGGCATGAGGGCCTTGGGAAAATTCAAATAGAAACTTAATTTTCAGGGCCGGCCCGGTGGCACACTGCTACAGTGCGCCGCTTGGGAGCGCGGTGGCGCTCCCGCCGAGGGTTCGGATCCCACATACAGACCGGTTCCCGCTCACTGGCTGAGCGAGGTGCGGGAGCAACACCGAGGGTTGCAATCCCGTTGCTGGTCCCGGTCCGGTACGGGCGCGACACTGAGGGTTGCGATCCATTGCCGGACACGAAAAAAGA